AGGGGCCCAGTGCTTTGGTGTTAAAACAAAACCCCCAAGCAAGTTTTCTAGGACCACTAATTTTTCTGGGGAGGTGCCCATCAGCTCTTAAGCTCACTGCTAAGTTTTCAGTTCCTCATTCATCTCTGGCATCTCAAGATTTTCTGTTTCTCCTATGACCACAGCTATGTGTATTATTTTATATAACATTGTGTTTGCAGCAGGAGTAATTATAGATGATTTTCTTTTGCTATATTGCCAGATCCAGAAATCCCCAGATTAATTTTATAAACAGTAAAATTATTTTAAAAATGTAAACATGAATCCTTATTTGTTTTCCACAAGTTAATAACTGGGCTGAGTAATCTCTTAAAGGTTTAATGAATAATTGCCTAGCGCTTTCTCAGAAAGAGCTGATGATGTTGCCAAATGTGAGTTGGCTGAAAGATCAGGCCTGGACACTTCCCTTCTCACCAAATACCTGGTCATGCATCTTTGTCTTGTGTCTAGGCTTCTAATTTTTTCTAGGCTCTGACCCTTGCTTCAGAACACAGGACCTACTTGCTAACTTGGCTCCCAAAGAAACTGGTCCTGGGTTATTCCTTCATTCATTTGCTCACTTAATAATTTATCATTACAATGTTTCTGAATATCATGATTCAGAACTCAGAGAGGATTACCCCCTCTCTTGGGAACAACAGGCTAAGGAAGACAGCTACATTTGGTATATATCAATAGCTTTGGCCTGAATTAGTCATTCAGCACATATGTATTGTTAACCTACGATGTGCCAGGCTCTGGTCAACAGCTGAAGGTAAAGTGGAGGGCAAGATAGTCATAGTCCATTCCCCCATGGAGATTATAATGAAATTAATCAAGATAAGAAATTCATGAACACTTAGTATATTCAGTTCCACTTTGAGGAAAACAAAATGAGACAGGGTCCCTGCCTTCTCCTGTAGGAAATTAGGCACCATATTGAACATAGCTTATTTTTTTTTTTGTTAATTTTTAATTTTTTTAGAAAATAGAGACAGGGTCTGCTTCTGTTGCCCAGGCTGGAACTCCTGGGCTCAAGCAATCCTCCTGCCTCAGCCTCCCAAAGCACTGGGATTATAGGTGTGAACCACCGTGCCTGGCCATGAACAAAGTTTATTAAAACAATAAATGCAAGTAACTTAGTAGATAGGAGAGGAAGGAGCCTAAAGAAGGCTGGTTAGTTAGGAAGGATTGCTGAAAGAGGCGGTATATCTAAAGATGTGTAGGATGGGGAAGCGGTACTTTGGGAACAGTCTTAGGAACCTGGGCTTCAGCCTGAAGACAGTGAAAATTCCTACATAATTTATGAGAACAGCAGAGGGTGACCAGCCTTCAATGTCAGGCCCTCCCAGACCCTACAAATCTCTTTGCTCTCCTCAGTCAAGCTATCCTGCTCAATTGCTGCCCTAGTCTCAGGCTGTACATTGGGATGTTGGAGAGTTCGGCTTTTACATTTGCCCAGGTAGGATAAGGCTTTAGCTGCATTGATCAACCTCCTCATTTTCTTATACTCATTTTTTTCTTTTTGCTTTCCTTAGTTCTTGAATTAAGTACTTGAGGAGAGTCCAATCAAAAATAGTCCCTCCTCAATATTTTAGCTAACCCCGATTTCTGAGCAAACACAATCCAATTTTAGCCATGCAGAACTTTTTCAGTCATTTAAAATATGTACTTCCTCTATAAGAGTTCAGTGGAAATTCCCCTCCTCAAACTGATTCTATGAATGACTGGTAGACGAACCCCACCACTGCATGTTGAGGGCGTACCAGGAACCCAATTTAGTAGTTCCCAAGAACCCAGCTTTTGGAGGGGGTCACCGTTTGGTTCCTGGTACACCCCCATAGGTTAAGTCCGCCACGAGGAGCACAAAACAGGCTGACTTCACCCGAGGGATGCCGTTTTTATGAGGGCTGCGGGGAACCGCTGGGGCGTGTCCGAAGAGGCGTTTGGGAAAGGGCATTTCTAAAGGGAAGGGTCGGAGCGGGAAGGGATCCAGGGTCCGCCACCCTCCAGCAGCGGGCGTTCGCACAACCCGGCAGAAACGACGGACTTCCTATGCTTCTTGGGAGAGCGTGGGAATCACGCAGCTGTTTATCAATTTGAAAAGCCCACACCAGGCCTCCCTCTCCCGACTTGCGACCCTGAAGACTGACAAGAAATACAGCCATCCCTAGTGAAGCCCTCGCGCCGGGTATTTCAAACGGCCCAGGAACCACGCCCTCTCCGGAACCGGAAGCGTTGCAACTAGCGCCCCTTGCTGGCTGGCGCTTTATAAGGAGGTGGGGGGGGGGGCCCGCAGCGGGAACTGCAACTCCCAGAATGCAGCGCGGGGCTTCCGGTTTCCGGCGAGCGGGCCAGAGTGAGTGTTTACAACCGGCGGCTCTGCGGCCGGGTTCCTTCCGCGGGACGGGTGAGGGCGCTGGGCCCCGGGCAAGCGCGGATTCGTTGTGTGTAGCTAGTTAACTAGTCCTACGGGAGCGATGGGGTCGTCACCAGGCAGTGTCCCTGCCCCACAACTAGCTGTCTGTGACCTTGGGCTTTACCTTTCTGAGTCTTGGTTCCCGTATCTGTAAACTGCGAATGATAATGTCTGCCTCAGGGAACAGTTGTGAGGATTAAGTGAGATATGATATATTAAAAAGACCTATTCCTTCCTTTGTCATAAACTTGGAGGTGGAAGGTACTTTGAGGATGCTTTAAGGCCAGCTAGGCAGCCTCACAGCCTTTTCTTTCCTCTTCCCTACAAGAGGCCTCTTGGGAAGCGATGACGACTCTAACAAGAACTTGTCTTGCTTTGCATGATTCTTCCACCCACAGAGTTTCTGATTTATTTTCTGGGCATTCATATGTGCTAGGCATGAGGACAACAGAGGTGAAAATTCTAGTCTTTGCTTTCAGGGCCTTCAAGAATTGAGTTGGAAGAAGAGGCTGAGACGTAGATAGGTATTTGCCCCAAAGGGATGTGGGAACAACAGAGGAAAGAGAGGAGACCTAGGTGCTTGAATTTGGGTTGGTCTTGGTAGGAGATTGCCAAGAGGCCAAAAAGGGAAGAGAAATTACATGCAGAGTTAGCAGATGAGCAGAGATGTAAAATGGGGGAGCACTTTGTTATGAATGGAGGCTTAGTGGGGTGTACTTACATGTTGTGGAGGCCCAGTGGGGCAGGGCTCTGTTGGGGAAGAAAGCTGGCAGGGGGCAGAATGTTAGTGATTTTTGAAGCCAGGCTATGAGGTTTAGACTTACTCATATAGATGGTTTGGAGCCGTTGAAGAAGTTCTAAGCAGAGAAGTAACTTAATCAGATCTGTGTTTTAGAATGAGTTAGGTGACAGCATAGACCTTTGATAGGGAGAGACAAGAGGCAGGGAACTTGTTATAAAGCTGTTGTAATAGTTCAAGCAAAACTAGAAGAAGAAAATTAGAAATAAGGAGTGTACAGAAGGGAGAGAGTTGGATGATCTCATTTGAATCTCACAACATTGCTATTAGGTTGGATGGTGTTTTTATGTCCATTTTAAAGATGCAGAAACTGAGGCCTAAAGAGCTGTCTATCAGGATGAGTAAAGAGAGATCCCCAGATTCTAGTTCTGGCCTCCTAATGCTGCACCCTCTGCTTCTCTAACAGCGTTACACTGCTTTGTCTCTCATTAAACCCTTTGGTGGGTGGGGGTGGAGTAGGGTGGTGGTCTGTACCTTAACCACTGAGGCTTTGTTCTTTTATAGGGAGAAAGAGAGAGCGCGAAAGAGAGAGGATGTCTCTCTCAGACTGGCACCTGGCGGTGAAGCTGGCTGACCAGCCACTTGCTCCAAAGTCTATTCTTCGGTTACCAGAGACAGAACTGGGAGAATACTCGCTAGGGGGCTATAGTATTTCATTTCTGAAGCAGCTTATTGCTGGCAAACTCCAGGAGTCTGTTCCAGACCCTGAGCTGATTGGTGAGTCTCTCTGGACTGGGGTTGGGCTGCTGCTCTTATCTCTTTTGGGGGAGGTTACTTCTGGAATTACAAGAATAAATTAAGGGCTTGGGATTTGTTGCCTCTTAATGTTAACACTCCAGGGAAGTAAGTGTTACATAAATATTATAGAAACACAAATCATATAATAAAACTATTGGTTGCTATTTCAGTCATGCATTATACAGAACTACTTTATCACAAAGTTCTTTAACCATGACATTGTTGAATTCTTTCTGTGAAAGAGCAGAAATTGGGGTGGGCTAGGGAAGGAGGAGTTGGTCAGGGGAGGCTCCTCGGTATATGGCTTTTGAGGTAGGTTTTAAGGGATGATTAGAAGGATTTTTGTTTGGTTGATTAGAACAAAGACATTAAAAAAGAAAATGAAGATGGCAAGGGCAGTCCAGGTGGAAGAAGGAGGAACTTAAATATAACATAATAAAAGGTAATTTATAATAGCTAAGGAATCTGGTTGACGGAAAGGTGTTTTTAGTCATACCTGGATTAGGTTAATCCTTTTTGGTGGTTGAATTTTTCCATTTATTTAAATCGAACAGTCTCTGCAATGTTAAGCTCCAGAGCTTTTCTGTGGATAGGTTCTGTATAAATCCATTTTATGAGTTTGTACTTGCTGACAATTGTTTTTAAAATGTATTTATTATGTAGTATCTTTTAAAGCATATATCATTCTCCAGCTATCTGTCCAATCAAAATAAGGTTCTCAGGGGACAGAAACCACCTAAATTGTTTTGAGGAGCAAAATATAAATGAACAATTCTTTTTTTAGATCTGATCTACTGTGGCCGGAAGCTAAAAGATGACCAGACCCTTGACTTCTATGGCATTCAACCTGGGTCCACAGTTCATGTTTTGCGCAAGTCCTGGCCCGAACCTGATCAGAAAGCTGGTGAGTGAGGGGTGGCCCTTAGCCAGGCAGAGTTTCTATGGTATCTATAAGGGAAGGGCCTGTGTGTTAAAGCAATGGCCTGAGTAGAACAGAGGGGTGATTTACTGAGCTGATGATAGGAGATGTCTTTATTACTTACTGTATAAGACCATATTGAGGCCAGGCATGGTGGCTCACATCTGTAATCCTAGCACTCTGGGAGGCCGAGGCGGGCGGATCGTTTGAACTCAGGAGTTCGAGACCAGCCTGAGCAAGAGCGAGACCCCCTTTCTACTAAAAAAAATAGAAAGAAATTGGCTGGACAACTAAAAATACATATATAAAAAATTAGCTGGGCATGGTGGCACATGCCTGTAGTCCCAGCTACTCAGGAGTCTGAGGCAGGAGGATTGCTTGAGCGCAGGAGTTGGAGGTTGCTGTGAGCTAGGATGATGCCATGGCACTCTAGCCCAGGCAACAGAGTGAGACTCTGTCTCCAAAAAAAAAAAAAAGACCATATTGATAAGCAGGGTCCTGTCTACGGCCATGCCACTCTGAATGCACCCAATCTTGTCTGGTAAGCAGAGTCCAATTTTGACTTTTTGCTGCCAACACAACTAAGGAAGGGGGATTTGTTTCTCTGCTTTCTAAGTTAATTAGCCACTGTTTTCTAGTGGGATAGGGAGTGTGTCTACTTAAACTCCTTTAGGTTAACAGTTTATTTCTCAGTGAACTTTGTATCCTTTTGTTATTGTTGTATTTGTTTTCATTAGAAAAAAAGCTGGAAACTTCTGGCACTTCTCTAATGCTACATATTGTTCTCTTGCTAACAAATCTTCCTGCAAACTGCCTCAGGTGGTGATTTGTTCAGTCAGCTAACTACTCCTGCTATACTGGTAATTTACTTTCTTGAAAATATTTGAACAGTATTAAAATAGCTCTTGGAAAAAGTATACAAAGCCTCAAATGCCTTTTTGATTTATTAATGGAAGGTGCTGCTTAGAATTCATAATTTAAATTTTGCATGTGTGTTTTACAAGCCTCCCCAAGGATAAAGCTAAGCTGTGTAACAGAGAGTAGCTTTGTTAAACTGGCAGATTTACATATTTTTATAATGTTTGTGATTGCTGTGACTAGTTATCAGCTTGAAATTTACCCTTTTATCAATTCTAAACATTAAGGACAAAAACATCTTATTTTGTATGCTAACGGGAAGTGAGAAAGAAAGGGAGCCCCCTGACATCTAGGGGGTTGCCTGGCACTCACAGCCAGGCCTTGGAGTCCCTTTGTGGAATGCAAACAATTGTACAGATCACAGCATCAGACAAGGTCACTCTGAGACTGTCATGGATGGAAACAAAAACAAGATTCTTATAATTTCTAAACAGAGACAAAAACCTGAGCATTGTCTAAGGCACAGAAGTGACCAAATATCCCTCTATCCCAGCTGATAAGAGTGACTGCTACTGCTTTAATAATTACAGTGTTCACCTTGCTCTACTTTTTGTTCCTTCTAGATAAGGATTATTAAGATACCCAATTATAGAATCTCCCCCACTTCCCGACAGTATCCAATACAGAGTAAAGCCTCATTTCTTTAAACTTATCCCGTGAATCACCCAGCCAAAACCCAAATCCTATACTAAGTCCTTTTTAATATCCTCTTATTGAGACACCCCATGATTCCCTGTGGTGTGCATTCTCTCTGTACTGAGCAGTAAACCCAACTTATTCAAATACGGGCCCTTTGGCTGGATGGCATTGACAGAAGGAAAATAACATTTGTGGCTTCCGTGAGCCAGATTTTTTTCCCTTTTATACCTCATTTAATCATTACAGGGGCTCTGCAGCATTAACATATCTTAGATGAAGAAAAAGGGTTAGGAAGGTATTTATTCAAGGTCACCTGCTTAGGAAGGGAATGCAAGAGCTGGGATATGGACCTGGGTTTTCTTGGCTCTAGAGCCCATGTTCTTCCCATGGGGCTGGCTGCTTTTCACCTGGAAAGGGTGAGCTTAGCTCAGAGATGTTAGAGACAACCATTACTTTTAGCCGATTAGATATGAAGAGTCATTTTCCTCCTACCTTCTGCCTGGAGATTTATTTTTGAAACAAATGGACTTTTTATTGGGAGGTGAAAGCAAACTTTTAGATCTGTGAAGAAATTGTTTTGTGACAGTATTTTAGATATTTTCTACTTGAGTGCTTGTCTTCCAAAAGGAAGCACATTTCTTATTCTCCCACTAGATTAGACCCTGTAGGAGGAGAACCCATTAGTCCCTCCCTTCCCACCTGGATCCCTTTGGTGGTTCTTTATGGAGATGATAGATCCCTTCAGGACGTCACCTTAGCTTGCTATTTGAGCAGGAATGTGTACCCCAAGCTCTGGCCACAAAGAACTACTTGCTGTTCCTTCAAAGCCCTGTGTTCTTTTATTCTCCCGTGTCTTTGCATATGTGCAAAAGGCTTGGACTACCTTTACCCCCCAGTAAATATCTGCCCTACTTTTCATACCTCTCTCAAATGGTCTCCTCTGGGAGACAGCTCTGTGTCCTAGCCCTCCCTCTCAGTGATAGCTGTCTGCCTCTGTGTTCCTAGCATCCTAGCTTGGATCCACATCTCTGCTGAGGTCCTCAGCATGGTATTAATATTTTGTAATTGTGTGTTTGATGTAGTCTCATTTCTCCTACTGCTGTAAGAGTTTCTTGATGGCAAGGATTCTTATTTTTCACATTCCTGTGCCTTGCCCAAAGCCGCGGCAGAATACATGCTTAGTACATGTTCGTTGAATGAATAAATTAGGTAATTTACTTAAGATAAATATTTTTCAAAAGAGGAAAATCATAATCAGAACTATAGGTAAGGGTGTGGCTGCCACACTGAACCCCAGTGGCGCTATTCACCTTGCTTTGGGAGTGGCGTCCCTGGAACTGGGCAGTACCCAGTCTGCACGGTCAGTGTCGCAGTCCTAGATGAGGATAACTACACTTTAAAAAGTGTGTCCTAGGGTGAATTTCCTACCTACTTCCCCTCCTGTTAACCACATTTCTTCTTCACTTGTAAAATGGGCTGATGTCCTAAATAGTAGAATAACCAAGTAAACTAATACAACTGCTAACCTTTCCCATATGTTTGAATCATAATGTCCAAAGATTACTTGCTGTTGGGCATGTGCTGAAAATTTGCTAAGAGCTTTAGAAGTACAGTGTGTTTTCTTGGTCCTTGGTGTTTTTTTTAAGATTCAAAATACTATTACAGAAACCTGAAAGAAAATATCAAAGTGACAATTACCCGGATCCTGTAATCCTACCTAAGTGCTGTCTTCCTGTTGTTCCCTCCAGCCTTGGACCAGGTGCACACGGACACATTTTACGTAGTTTTACCAGAGAATGCATATACAACTTTGTGTTCTGTTTCTTTCTCTTAACATTGTGTCAGCATAGCTCTATATTGTTAAGATGGCTTGGGGCACACTTACTTTATTTTTTAAAATCTGCATGTCTATTTTATTTCCATTAGAAAAATACCATCTATATAAAATTTTGTTCCACTTTCTTCTCCTTGACCTCTGCCATTCAAATTTAAATACTTTAATTTTACTCAAGTAAAAGAAGAATCACACATCTGACGTGAGAACTAAATATTTCACATCATTCATTTAGTTTGAATTAGGTGTGCTCTTGATTATTTCTCAGGCACAGTAACTCATTTTTCCTACCTGTTATTTCCCTTTACTTTTATTTATTTGAGTAATTGTGTATTGTACATCAAAATATGGGTGTACATAAGTGTAATTTATAACATCAGTAACTGGATTCATTAATTGTCAATTCATGTTCAACTACCCTTATTATATGATATTTCCATAATAACCAGGTACTTTAGTCAAACTTACGCTATCAGCAGTTGCAAAAATTAAGATGCTGAAAGTTCCACACTAAACAAACCCTGGGCCCACTTACAGTCATGCTGTTGTGAGAGGTCCTTGGACAGCTACAGCTTCAATTGCAATTCGGTCTTCTTTGGGCAAAGCAACAACCTGCTGAGCAGCTCTAGCAGGAAAACTACTTTTGAAATACTGTTTGCAGATTTCATTGACAGTATTGAAGTCATTTATGTCAGCCAGCAAAACAGCTGTTTTTACTACATTAGTGAAGTTGGCCTGCAGCTTTCAGAATTTCACCCATTTTTTTGAGACAGAGTCTCACTCTGTTGCCCGGGCTAGAGTGCTGTGACGTCAGCCTAGCTCACAGCAACCTCCAACTCCCAGGCTCAAGCAATCCTTCTGCCTCAGCCTCCCGAGTAGCTGGGACTACAGGCATGCGCCACCATGCCCGGCTAATTTTTTCTATTTTTAGTTGTCTGGCTAATTTCTTTTTATTTTTAGTAGAGACGGGGGTCTCACTCTTGCTCAGGCTGGTCTCGAACTCCTGAGCTCAAGCAATCCTCCCGCCTCGGCCTCCCAGAGTGCTAGGATTACAGGCGTGAGCCACCGCACCCAGCCTTCACCCACGTTTTTAAGAGCTTGTTTAGCTTCTTCTGCTACCCCTCCTGGCATAAGCTGTTCCCTTGAAGGGTCCATGCCTGTCTGTCCTGAAATGTAAATGGTGCTCTCCACAAACATAGCTTGGCTATAGGGACCAGTGGCCCCTGGGGCTTTTGCAGTGCTGATCACCTTTTGATCAAGGACAGCATGGCCAACACTTCTCGCTTGTGGCGCCTCCGGGAGAAAAAGCCCCAACAGCAGCCCTGCTCACGTCTCAGCCAACTCAGCTCACTTACTGTAAATCACTGCGTAAGAATCGACCAGTTGATTAGAATATAAGAAGTCCACAGGATTCTTGCAGTGGGATGTTGATCAGAGCAATCTCTTTCATGTGGTAAGATTCCTCTCTGCTGGAACTTGAATTTGTTTGTCAGTTTTATCTGCTGAAGATGCTTACAAGGTGTGCAGTTTGCACATCTGTGGCACAAATCGGTTTTTATGAATGGGCATTCACATTCTTAGGGGGGGATGAAGGAAGGGAATGTGCAGACCAGGCCACACCTGGGCACATGCTAAAATGTTGTTGCCATGTTTGTGGCAGGGCCAGGACCTGAGCTGTGGGGTAATTCTGAGTGTCTTGCTCCCCAGAACCTGTGGACAGAGTGGCTGCCGTGAGGGAGTTCCGGGTGCTGCACACTGCCCTGCACAGCAGCTCCTCCTACAGGGAGGCGGTGAGTGTGTGCCACGGCCCCCAGCCAGGACTGCAGGAGAGGGTGTGAATGCAGGCAAGGGCTGTGGAGTGGGAGCTAGATGCCCGTTGCCGTGGCAACCAGGAGATCCTTGGGGAGTTTTTGCCACGTCTGTGGGCCTCAGTAGAGCTCTGTCTTTCCCCAAAGAGCCTGTCTCAGTCAGGCATTGTTGATTCCCTTTAATGATAATGATACAACCTCTCCAGATACTGACCTCATGGAGTGAATTTGGTGACAGCCAACGTACCGTTTCAGCTGGGCCTCCTTCTTTAACTTTGGCTGAACTGCCTGCTTACCACCCCTTGACCTCAGTGTCCTCACTGGGAAAATGGGCTGATGTCTTTCTATAGGAGAGTTGACAGGCAAAATTAATACAGCTGTGAACTTCTCAATACGTATGAATATGAAATAGTAATTGTACAGAGATTGAAAAGAACTTTTGGGACCTAGAGAAACCTTTGTTATTTGGCTCGTAATGAGAGTTTTTATTTTCGAAGCATTAGAGCTATAGACAGAGGAAAGCACCACAGAGATTGAAGGTTTACTGTAGTCTTGCATTTTTCTTTTCTTTCTTTTTTTTAATTGTTTGTTTTCCCTCCAGTCAGCCATGATCTCAGAGCAAAAAGAGGTTGATCAGTTTCTGGGGCTATTTTTCTATTGTGCTGCGGTATACGTGCAAGCACTTAGCAGGAGGAAGTCCTTCAGCAGAGTGCGGGGATTGGATGAGCGCTTTGAGCTGGTTGGAGTGCTCAGCCCTCCCCGTTTCTCCTGCAGGTCTTCAAGATGCTCAGCAATAAGGAGTCTCTGGATCAGATCATTGTGGCCACTCCAGGCCTCAGCAGTGACCCCATTGCTCTCGGTAAGTGCAGGACTGAATTTGAGAAAATAGGAGATGTTGGAAAAGGAGAAACCAGAAGAAGGCAGTTACCCTAAAGAGACTTTGACTGTCTTTTGAACAAGAGTCACTGGTCTTGTAGGAAGAGGGAGAGTAATCAAGATGTGTTTGATATACATGGTCCTCTAAGAGCTCTCAGTCCCTCAGAGAGATAATGGCCTAACATCATAAATTAGGGTAAGAGGATGCCAAATGAGGGCAACAGTTAGCCCAGATCACAGCAATCAGGGAAGATGTTCTGCACACCTTGATGAGTAAGGGAAGAACCCAGAGATCCAGGGGGCAGAGACCAGCGCATTGGTACTCAGTATGTGACGTAAGTGAGAGGAGGGGGTGTGGAGGGCAGGGGAACATCCCCACTGGAGCAAGATAGAGAATACTTGGGTTGTGTCGCTTGGTGCTTTGCTTCCTCTACTTCCCATGAGGTTTATGGTCCTATGTCCCTGTTGAGCCTGTTGCTCTGAGGCCTAAAGTATCTTCTCCCTCCTGGAACTGACCAGATTTCCATTCTCTGAGGTGAGCCCTGTTCTCTTCCAGGGGTTCTTCAGGACAAGGACCTCTTCTCTGTCTTTGCTGATCCCAACATGCTTGATACGTAAGTGTAACTGTTGTATTAGAATCCCTCATCTCTCCTCACGTGGTCAGAACAGAAGCCTAATTGTCACCCTGGCTGGAATCTGCTCTTGGAGGCTATCTGCAGTCTGTCAGCAAGTCTGCCTTCTCACAATGTGAGGAGGTGAGAAAGGGCAAGGGCAGGGACGCACAAAGAGCGTCAGGAGGATGCAGGATTCTGAGGGAGAGGGCTTTGCCTGCCAGGTTCAGTTTAGGTTTTGTTCAGTAGATATTAGGGAACCTAATACCTTTGAAGGGTTTTAAGCTGAGGGAAGGAGAAGCAGGCATACAGCTTCATAAAATGCTAGACCTGGAAAGGACATGTCCCCTTATTTTGTAAGTGAAGAAAATAGCCCCACGCTGGAAAGAGAAGGGACCTGTCCAGGGTTGCCTAGTGTAGGGGCGAAGATGCCTAGAGCAGAGGTGAGCGCTGAGCCACCGAGCTGTCTCTCTCCTATCATGCCTTGCCTGAGCGAAGGTCAAGAGTCCGCAGCAGAGCCCAGGAACTGAAGGCCTTGCTGCTGAGGTTGGGGCAGATCCACAGGCAGAAAAAGCTTCCTGGTGGAAGATGCTGAAGACTGAGGAATCTGAGGGCAGGCACAGGTGGCTCCAGTGTTGTGAGGGGAACTCCTGCCAGAACTCCTGCCATGGGTGAGGGTACTCTTTCCTTCTTAGTCACCGTTGGGTTTCTTCCTGCCCTGTCCTAGATTGGTGCCTGCTCACCCAGCCCTGGTCAATGCCATCGTCCTGGTTCTGCACTCAGTAGCAGGCAGTGCCCCGATGCCAGGGGCTGACTCCTCTTCCCGGAGCATGCCCTCCAGCTCGTACCGGGAGATGCCAGGTGAGCCCCAGAAGATCATCAAGTAGGCCTCAGGAGCCGGCAGTGGCCCAGGGATTTGCTTTACTCAGCAGCTATGTATAGTGCTGGCAGAGGGCGTTCCTTGGGAACTCTCGGTTTGAGTCAGGAAGTGCATCTGTCCTGTAATTTTCCAAGGGGAGAGATAAAAATATGAATTTGGAGAGTAACTTGAGCTGAGAGTCTGGAGCTGCGCCTGTGCCTTTCTGTTCTTCCTCCTAAAATCTGTTCACCCTCCTCCAGGTGGCTTCCTGTTTGAAGGGCTTTCAGATGATGAGGATGACTTTCACCCAGTAAGTGGCCTGTCTGCCTGGCATTTGGGGAAGGTGGTGCTGGGAATGGGCCACTCCCTGGGACCAGGCACGCCCAAGGCTGGGAGGTGGTCATAGGCCCTTAGGAGGCCAAGACCATGTCATGCTGTTCCTTTTTCTGGATTCCTTTCTGAACCTGGGAGCTTAGAGAGTCTCCCTGAGAACTGTTTCTGGAGCAGGGTAGGGTTCATTTGTGAATTTCACAGTGCTGCTTCCCTGATTCTGGTGCCTCCCTTCTCCAGAGCACCCGGTCCACGCCCTCGAGCAGCACACCGAGCTCCCGCCCAGCTTCCCTTGGCTACAGTGGAGCTGCTGGGCCTCGGCCCATCACCCAGAGTGAGCTGGCCACTGCCCTGGCCCTGGCCAGCACTCCGGAGAGCAGCTCTCACACGCCGACTCCTGGCACCCAGGTATGGAGAGAGGGCCAGGAAGACCAAGGCCAGGCTCCTGAGGGAGAAGCTCCCTAGCAGTAGGGTAGATTTGCCTTTGCTAACCCTGGTGCTAGAATTGGCCCAAGCTGAGCCCTGGAGCCCTGGTGGGGATTCTTACTGCATCTTGGGTGACTTCCCCCTCACTTGGTTTTAGGGACCGGAAGTCCAGAGTTTAGCATAGTCCTGATTGATTCCTCCTTGTAGTTTAGAAAGAACCTCCCCTCACACAATATGCCCTTCCTCATCTCTGACAGCGGGCAGGCATCGCTGACTTAAGCATTTCTGGTGATAAGTCATTCTAGCTTTCAAGGCCATCTCTCCCAATGCTGGGGTCCTAGGCTGGGTCAGGGTCAGGGTCAGGGTCAGGGGGCTCTGAGCAGAACAGAATGAAATCTTTCCTGCCCACCTAGAGAGCTTTGTGCAATTATCTCATGGCAGGCCCTTCTTGGGAGGCAGTAGTTGGCTACCCCAGGAACACTGTGGGGTGATGTGACCGTGTGGGTATCTACTCTGATGTAGCGATGGATCTGAGGGTGACACCACCACTCATTTTTCTCTAGGGCCATTCCTCAGGGACCTCGCCAATGTCTTCTGGTGTCCAGTCAGGGACGCCCATCACTAATGATCTCTTCAGCCAAGCCCTACAGCATGCCCTGCAGGCCTCTGGGCAGCCCAGCCTTCAGGTCAGTCTTCCCACTTCCTGGTTTCCATGTGGCTTCCTGGTTACTTTGGATGCTGAGCCTTTTTCTACTCTCTGGAGGTCCTTCCCATTTGGCATGCTTCACTCTCGGAACAGTTGGAGCATGGGAGTGACAGGTGAGGAGTGTTCCTAGCAAGGGCACACTCTCGGAGTGGTCCCTGTGGTCTTCTCCTCCCTGCCCCCCATGACGGTGGCCTGACTCCCCTGACCACGTGGCTTGGATAACCCCGGCAGTTTTAGTCAAGCAGGCATTCATTCATTGAGTGAGTGATGACTGAGCATTGAGTACGCACACAACAGGCCTGGGTCAGATGCCGGGGCTAGGGTGAGCTGGTCCTCTTCCCTGCTGTGGGCACCGGGCACGTACTGACCTGGGGAGCAGCAAGGTGAGAAGCCCAGACACTTGCGATGGGGTCCTGGGTCAGGCAAAACTTCTCTGAGGAAGGGGTGTTTAAGCTGATTGTCAAAGAATTCGTTAGAGGTTAGCCAGGCAGGGAAGGGGTGTTTGAGGTAGGGAGGGGATGATTTACAGGTGGAGGCAACTATGAGGTCTGTGTGACATATCAAAACTACAAGGCTAGAATGCCATGTCCTAATGTAGAAGATCCTGAGATGGAGCCAGAGAAAGAGAGAGCAGGAGCCTGCGTGTGAGGGGCCTCGAATGCCACCCTAGAAGGATTAGACTTGGTCTAGCAGTCGCCAGGGAGCCATGGGAGGCTTTAAGGAGGGGAGTGGTCACCCTGGCAGCTAAGTGGGAGACCCAGGGGTCAGCAGTGTTTTATCGCGTGCCTCCGTGACGAGCTGCTTGCTTCACGTCTGTTTCCTTTACTCGTCACAGTAGGCCTGGGGGCGAGCCTTAGTGCTGGAACTTGTCCGAGGTCATAGAACCATGAAGTGGTAAAGACAGGGTTCAAGCTCATGTGGTTTTCACTACCCCACGAGGTCCTCGTAGATAGTGAGAACGGGAGCAGGACACGTGGACAACTGGTCTTCTCTGTTCTGTCATCCTCCGTGGCGAGATGCCCGTTTGCTTTGTTCCCTGGTTCAGGAGCACTTGCTGCTCTACCTGGCCTGCAAGATGAATCTGGGTGGATATGTGCGGGTTTGTTTTAAGCTCCCCACATCTCACCCCTCCTGGCCTCTCTGAATTTGCGTTTCTTCCCCTTCCCGCTTGCAGCTTGCATTGCCTTCTCCCTGCGGGTGAGCACGTTGTTTTCCCTGTTGCATACTTCCCTCCTGTTATGAAATAGATTAACGAAGCTATGAAAGTACTAGAAGAAAATGTGGGTGACTTTCTTTAAATCCTTATAGTAGAGAAGGCCTTTCATGGCTGCAACTCAAAATCTGGGAGCTGTTAAATAAAAGAATTATCCATTTTAAGCTTGTAAAAGTGAACATTTCTGTATGGCAAACCAAACAAAAAAAGAAGCAAAGCCTAAGGGTTAACAATAAACTGGGAAAAAAATCTGTAACACGTATAACATAAAGGTCAAAATTTCCCTGATGTGTAGAGGTTCTAGAAATTTAAGACCAATAACCCCATAGTAAAATGGGAAAAGGATGAATAAACTATTCACTGAAAAGGAAGTACACACCCTTAAACCCATGTAATTTCTAACAATCCCATTTCTAGGAATTTATCCTGGAAATGTATGTGCATGTGGAAAATGACATTTGTATGGAGTCAATCATAGCAGCATTATTTGTAATGGCAAAAGATAGGAAACAGCCCAGTTATGGTACGTTTCAGGACCTCCACGTGTTGGAATATTATACAATTATTAAGAAATGTTTTATTGGCCGGGTGCGGTGGCTCACGCCTGTAATCCTAGCTCTCTGGGAGGCCGAGGCGGGAGGATTGTTTGAGCTCAGGAGTTCGAAACCAGCCTGAGCAAGAGCGAGACCCCGTCTCTACTAAAAATAGAGAGAAATTAATTGGACAACTAAAAATACATAGAAAAAAATTAGCCAAGCATGGCGGCGCATGCCTGTAGTCCCAGCTACTCAGGAGGCTGAGGCAGAAGGATCGCTTGAGCCCAGGAGTTTGAGGTTGCTGTGAGCTAGGCTGACACCACGGCACTCACTCTAGCCCAGGCAACACAGTGAGACTCTGTGTCAAAAAAAAAAAAAAAAAAAAAAGAAATGTTTTATATACCAGCTTAGAAAGGTCTGCAGGATAGATTGATTATGTTAAAAAAAAAAAAAGAGGGTTGGGGAACAGATGTAGAATGAGGGTATAAGAAAAGGGTAAATATAAGAATATATATTTATATTTCCTCAAAGAAAATAAAATTGGTTATCTGGGGAGGGGGTAGGAGTGGATGAGAGTAAGACTTCACTGTGTATTATGTTAAAAAAACAAAACTAAAATTAGCTGGGCATGTTGGTGGGCACCTATAGTCCTAGCTACTCAGGAGGCTGAGGCAGGAGGATCATTTGAGCCCAGGAGTTTGAGGTTGCCGTGAGCTATGATGATGCCACTGCACTCTAGCCGAGGCAACAGAGCAAGAACCTGTTTCCTGTTTCAAAAACAAAAAAAGAAGCCAAACAAAACTAGTTTAAAAATTTATTCCTCTATCCCCACTTATTTTTGTGTGTGTGTATACATATAGCAAGAGAAAGAAAGTAATTTAGTCTTTTGGAATTTACACATTGAATAATTTGTGCTTTCTCTTTTTATCCTTATGTTAAGAATTTCTTTTTTTAATCATAAAACTGAATTTGTTCTCTTTACTCTTAAGCCTATCTTTTAGTCTTCCTAGAAGCCCCGTGTTCTGTGGAACTTAGCATCCGCGACTTTGCTGTAGGACTCCCATCTTCCTTTCCTTCCTCTGAAAACAGAGCTACGCGAGTCTTCATTAGGGTCCCAACTAACAGCCTCTGCCTGCTCCTGTCTCTCCACAGAGCCAGTGGCAGCCCCAGCTCCAGCAGCTGCGCGACATGGGCATCCAGGATGATGAGCTGAGCCTGAGGGCCCTGCAGGCCACCGGGGGGGACATCCAGGCGGCCCTGGAGCTCATCTTTGCCGGAGGAGCCCCATGAACTCCCCATTCCTCCCGAGTCCCTAGCATGTTGTAGAGGCTGCTGCCACAGGAGGCACCCAGGAAGGTGCCTCCATCTTTCCCCTCCCCAATATACCTGATGGTCAACTCTCCTGCTTTGTCCAGTGCTTGGCCTTTCTGGCTGATCTGAGCTGGTGGAGGCAGTGGGGCAAGCAAGCCGTGTGGGCCTTGGTGCTGTGGCATCAGGATGCAAGGCTGGTCCCTGGATGGAGGATTTTAGATCCATGTTATGAGATGCTGTGATACCCATGTTCACCTTTGGGAGAAGTTGCCAGTGGTAGCCCTTGGACTCTTGGGTGCTTTTAGGTATGGCAGCCTCAGGACATGCCCAAGGCTGGGGCAGGGTTGCTGCCCAGTCTTCAGGGTGGCTGCTGGGTTACAGCTATGGCCAGAAAAGGCCCACGCTTCTGAAATGTCCACAGCCTTGGGAGGGACTGGGTGGACTTTCACGGGGAGCCTATGGGGGCAGTTTGCCTTCCACGTCACTCCCTCTCCCAAAGGCGTCTAAAAGATTCCTTTTAGAATCTTTAGGCTGTCCCTCCCCAGCCAACTCTCACCAAGCATTTCTCGATGCCTATTCTGTAACGATGCCAGAATCCAGGTCTCAGAGCTGCGCCAGGAGGCAGGACCCTCTTCTCTGTCCTGAAAGCGTAAACACAAGAGCAGTTAAATAACAATACTGAACAACACCAACACGAACAGAGCTCAGCTTTAATATTGAAGAGGGCACCAACCCCCAAGCTGCTGCTCCATCTGCCTGTGCTCGTTCCCCCTGGCATGGCGCTCCCTGTGGCATTTCTGCGGCATCGCAGACATTTCCAAGTTGAGAAAGTACATTTCATGTGCTTTGAATTCTTTGTAAGGAAAACACTCCTTCAGCCTCCATTCATTTGGGACCTAACGTGGGCAGGAAGGAGCTCAGAGGTCTGTTCCTGCCCTGTGCCTTGGCAGACATTCCTTCCCCACCATTCCCAGTCATGGTCATCCAGCTTCCGCTTGTCTTCTCCTGGGACAAGAGGTTTACCACTTAGGGACAGCCTATCCTGTCCTTTAACTGCTCCCCAGAGCATTTGCTCCTTAGTCCCCTTTCTGCCCTAAGGAACCACTCAGAACAAGCCTACTCCCTCTCCTACACGAGCAGGGCTACAGTTACTCACGGAGAGTGGTGGTGGGTGACTCACTTGTTCCTCTGACCTGTACTGGTTTGGGTTCCCAGCATGTCCTTTTCGCTGGATGACCGCTACTTTATCAGTGATGCTCTCAAAGAGAGGTACTCAGAGGGACCCATTATTCCACATACGGCCTGAACATCACGTTGTTCTTTGCTTCCTCCAGAAAGTTTGATAAATCTCTCTGCATTTCCCGCTCAATCTGGGATTAATGTTGAGAGGTGTTTGCATTGGCAGAAAAGTTTCAAAACTCTCTGGACTTCTTGGCGCCAGCTCTCTTTGTGCCTCAGTGGTCTGCCTGGAGCCCAGCTGCCTCCCTGTGGTTTGGAGCAAAGACCAGGAAGCTCTGTGCTTGAACCCATTGTCCCTTGCTTGCCTGTGGTAGAAACAAAGGCCAGTCCATCCTCATGGGTCTGTGTTGGTCAAATGGGGCTGACACAGCCCTTCCTGTCCCCACGATACAGCCTCCCCACAGCTGGTTTCCATACTGCGGCAACTCTCCCCCTGCCTCCAAGGACTGCCATCAGGCGCTCAGGTTCTCGAACTCCCCCACCTCACTTATGCTGTGGAACTTTTGGGTCATCCTGCCCTGTCCCTGAAACCGACCCCCAGTGCTAGTTATACTGCTTCCCAGAATTGAGGCGCCCCAGGGTTTCCCTTTCCCTTCTTTGTCGGGTCTTTCCTCCAGGGGCTTGGCAAGTTGGCTTTGCTTCCTGTGGCTATGTTTTAAATAGTGCATGTTGGGTCTGATAAGTGCCCTCTCTGAGCCTGGGGCTTTCCATGGGCCAAGGACTCCTTCCTAGCCATTGTCCCTTTCACCCTTCCAGCAAACACTGAGCCTCTGCTCTGTGCCAGGTAAACACGATGGCATCCTTGCTCTCAGCTGTGTCGTTGGTAAGACAGACAAACCCGTGTTTACACTCAAGCCTGATGAGAACTGGGCCAGGCAAGTCCAGAGGCTGTGGGGGCTCACAGGAAGAGGGGCTAACCTGGGCTAGGGGAGGGTGTGTGTGTCAGGGAAGGCTGCTTGGAGAAAGTGGCATTTAAGCTGAGATGTGAAGGGTAAGGAAGCATTGGGCAGGAAGGTATGTGTGCTGAGCAGGCTGGGACTGGGGAGAAGATACGGCTCCTGTAGCCTTGTCTGTGAGGGTGGATAGCAAGACAGACGGGTAGGCAGGGGCTAGATCATCTTAAGCCATGTAAGGGGTTTAAGCTTATCCCAAGGGTAATAGGGAGTCCTAGAATTTTGATCAGGGCAGTCAGATTTGTATTTTAGAAAGGTTGCTCTGGCAGCTGTGTAAGGATAGACTGGGGTAGGGGCGGGCAGGCTCGAGGGAGAGCAGGGAGGAAGCTGTGGCAGTGATCCACTTAGAACGGTGGTGGGCTACCTGGCAGTGGGGAAGGGAAGGAGTGGGCAGAGAGTTTAGGAGTTACACTTGATTTCAGATCTTGGGGAAAGGTGAGTGTGCAGTCGTCTCCTTGAACAGATGGGGACACCAGGGTTCAGAGGGGTGAGGTCATCTGCCTATAATCTCATGGTTAAGAAGTAGACAGGTAGGCCTGGAAACTCAGGTCTGTCTGACTCCAAAGCTGATGCCCTCCCTCCCGCCGCCCACGGCTCTGAAGTGTAGAAGAATGGAAGGTGATGAGGGCTCCCATCGGCTGAGGACCTGGGACTTTATCCTGGGGGTAAAGAACACTCCTGGGGCGCTTCAGGCAGGGGAGCGGGACCGGATCCGCGTGTGAGATAATCTGACAGCTGTGTGGAGGCTGGATTTGTGGGAAGTGAGACTGGGGTGGGCGACCAGCGAGGAGGCTGACTGGGGCCTCCAGATGGGACGTGGTGGGGGCCTCCACTGGAGCTGCTGCAGCGGGGCTGGGGGTGCTGTGAGGTGTGAAGGACAGACTAGCTTTGGGGGAGGGAGAGCGGGGAGGCGGGCAGGCTGCGAGCAGGTGGACGGGGGTGTGGCAAGAATAAGGGACTTAGGTGAGGACTTGGAGTGAGGTGCCATGGGGCAGCCAGGTGGGGATGTCTTACAGACACGTCTCTGGGCTGAGATAGTGATCAGTTGAAGTTCTAAGCTGAAGACTGGGCTTTTGTCATGTGAGAAGGTAATTCAACTTTTCAGGGAAAGAGGAAAAGGGGCTACCCACTAAGGAGTTGGGCTTTATAGGAAATGGTGACTGAGACATGAGACACAGAAGTGGGGCAGGATCTCCTGCGAAGGCGACAGCAGGAGTCACCAAAGCTGAGGGAGTGGAAGGAACTGGACAAAGGGCATGGTCAGTGGGGTCAGATGCCACAGACAAACCTAGTAACAGAAGGGCTGACCTAGAACTTGCCGACTTAAGCCATGGTGACCTTGGGACATTCCGGTGGAACCAGAGCCAGATTGCAGACGTTGAGGACTGAACAGGTGAGAGGCAGTGACGCAGGGAGGGCAGAGAACCCTGCCAGTGAGGGGTAGGGTAGCGGTTGGAGGGAGGTGGGGTTGAGAGTGAGCTTTTGCAGTTCAGCAGAGGTGAAGTTGGAAATGATCACAAGAACTTTTCTAGGAAGCTAAGGGGAAAAAAAGGAAGAGACCCTGAAATAGAATATGCAAATATGTAGAGATGGGTGAGTTTTCTGAACAGATCCCTTCTCCCAATATAACTCAGATTTGGCTGGGCTGGCATGGGCTGGGCTGGCACAGTTTGCTGGGCACATGGGCCCCAGTTCTGTTCCTCGCCTCAGCCCCATCTGGCGGGGGCCCCAGACCAAGCTCTCAGAGCCCTACCCTGAGGTGGCTTCTTGTTTCCTCTGCCTCGGGATTTGGTGGTGAATGTTTGGTGAGGATGGTGGGGAGTGAGTTCAGGCCTCTCTATCTGCTTACCCAGCCTCTCCAATAGGTTGTGCCCTTGGTTTCCCTGTGCCTGGCCGTCTTGCCTCCATAAGCTCTGAGGTCGCTAGGAGTAGAATTCAGCCTCCTCCATGCTCGATGCCTTTGCGGCGACCCAGGCACTGGCCTGCTGTATCTTGGTGAAACTAGCTAACAGCAACACAGTACAATCTTGCTCATTTATCAAGCACCCTCTCTGTGCCAGGCACTGAGCTAGGCACTCACATGTGCCATCTCAGCAGATCCTCTTAGCAACTCTGAGAAGTGGATCAGATTATCCCCATGTACAGACATGTGCTTCCGGTTAGTAGGACGTGACTGTATGCTGGGAAATGGGCCTTTCCAGGGCTTGGGTGGGATTGTTATCAGCATGATGCCATCCGTCAATGCACCCACCTGGGGCCTTGTGCCAGGCTGGCTGATGGGTCTGCTAACCACTCATCCTGGGAGCAGCGGCTCAGGCCTCGGAGGGGAATTAGGCTTCTAAGTCATTCTATCTGAGGTTTAGGTCACTTTTCCACAGGTAAACTAAATTCTTGGTGTCTCGGTTGTGTCCCATTTGACATTTTCCCTCAATTTATATAAGTGGATATTGACGGTGTGTATCAGAGGCCAGGCATTCAAAGTTGGGCTGGTGAACGTTCTAGGTGGAGTCAGAGCCCAAACAATGAAATAACCCTAACAAGGACAGGAACAAGGAAAGTCTAAGGTACTGCAGTGGGAACCAGAAAATTAATTGCTCTTACGCAGCATGGGGTCTTGTTTCTTCTCCTCCTGGGCCCACATTCAAACTCACAATCTTTCTCAAACCAGCATCCCAGCGAGCCACTACTGATGGTTGGGAATTGACCCAGGGATAACCCTGGGCTAAGATCAGCAGGATTTAACAGCTTGGTGTCTCAATCCAATAAGACAGTGCCTTTGGAGGTGCCAGAACCAGGAGCAAAGAAACCAGTCTGTTAGCCCTTTGCTGCTCAGCCTCCACCCTAGGGGTTGTGTTTTGATCTGAAACTTGATCTTTGAAAGGGATGGACACAGTCTGGA